TGCCTTAAGCGTCTGATGCCAGCGTTCAAGAGCCCCTTGACTCTCCGGATGATACGGACTCGAGACCTGGTGGGAGATAGACAAAGTTTTTAATACCTCCGCAAACAGTTTTGATGTAAAGTTAGTTCCTTGATCAGTTTGAAGAACCTTTGGGAGGCCAAACGTAGAAAAAAACTTAACTAATGCTTTCAACACTGACTTCGCGGTTATAGTACGGAGGGGAATGGCCTCTGGGTATCGAGTAGCGCTACACATGATTGTTAGGAGAAATTGATTACCGGACCGGGTCTTCGGCAGAGGACCCACACAATCGACAATAACCCTGTCAAACGGCTCTCCCACCACAGGAATAGGGCAGAGCGGCGCACGAGGAACCGTTTGATTTGCCTTACCTGTGAGCTGACATGCATGGCAGGTTCTGCAGAACTTAACTACATCAGATTTCAAACCTGGCCAAAAGAAATGTCGTAGGACCCGGTCGTACGTTTTTGTTATTCCTAAATGCCCAGACCACGCCGGATCATGAGCAAGTGACAGCACCTGCTGCCGTATCGGTGGAGGAACAACTACCTGCAACACTTCTGGCCAATCACCATCAGTTTTATGCGCTTTCCATTTGCGCATCAGTACACCAGCCTCCATGAAGTAGGCAGTCTCCCTAGTGTTTGCTTCCTCCGGGGAAACTACAGAAGCAAAACACTTACGCAGACTGGGGTCTTCCTTCTGATACTCGATCACCCTAGCAGGCGTGACCATCACCAGAATATCATGTAATTGGGGAGCACTTACGTTTTCCCCGACAGTAGACTTGCCGGTGGTAGAAAACATTGGCGTTGTCGTAGCTACAGTAGGGACGATCTGCGCCGCTGTACTACGGGCGAAAACAGAACCCGCTAAATCCACCATGTCTCCCATCCTGCGAGACTGTGCCCTTGTTAACACGCACGCAGGAAAAACATGGGGAAAGGCTTCAACTAAATCATTGTCTGTCGATGTAGACTCTGGGCTGCCTACCACTTCCAACATGGGAGTAACAACACCACCAGCAATATCATTCCCCAACAGCAATGTCACTCCTTTAACTGGTAGCGTAGACACTACACCAACACGAAAACGTCCGGCTACCAGGTCGGACTTTAAATTAACCCAATGTAACGGCACAGATACTGTGGATGTCTCTATACCCTGGAGTATTACATGGGAACCACAGTACGAGTCCGGTGACCAGGGTAGCACTTTGGTGAGAATGACCGACTGTGCCGCCCCGGTGTCTCGTAGTATCTGTATGGGCTTTTGGTCAGCTTGTTCCCCGGTCAAGGAGACACAACCTGTGGACAAAAACGGGGCATAAAGAGGATCTGGCCTCACAAGCGAGTCACTAGTTGAGTCTTGCGGCCAAACAAAACCCATGCCTTTGGGCTTTGGAGGGAATGACTCAGACGGTTTGGGTTTACTTTTCAACACTGGGCAGTCCACAATCAAGTGACCGACCTTGTGACAATAAAAGCACTCACGGACCTCAGCCATCGGCTTAGGGTCGTCGTGGGAGGCAACACGACCAGATCGAGGCAACGATGACGTCACCGACCTGCCTTCAAATCGAAACTCTCCAAACACTGTTTTATGGGTTAAGGCGTACTCATCGGCCAACACTGCCGCTTGGGCCAACGTTGTCACTTTCTGTTCGTTCAAATGAACTACAACCCGGTCTGGCAAGTGATTTTTAAACTCCTCCAACAACATTAGTTCCTTAACCTCTGTAAACGTGTTAGCTTTACTAGCCGAACACCAACGATCAAACAGAGACTCCTTATCTCTAGCAAACTCAACAAATGTACGGTCAGGAGGCTTTTTGTGGTTCCTGAAACGCTGCCTATACGCTTCAGGCACCAACTCATACGCACGCAACACAGTTGCCTTAACTATGTCGTACTGCAAACTGTCTTCTAGGGACAGAGCAGCTAAAACCTCTTGGGCTTTCCCAGACAATTTGCACTGCAACAGGATTGACCATACATCCTGTGGCCAATGTAGCGCAGCCGCCACCCGCTCAAATGCAGAAAAGTAGGAATCTACTTCGGATTCACGAAATGGTGGCACCAACGCAATGTTCTTGCTTACCTCAAACTGACGCTGCGGCGACTGAGGGGATGCACTGAAGCCAGCCTCTAGCTCCAGTTGTCGTATGCGTATCTCTTTGTCAGCCTCTATGGTCAGTCTTTTAACCTCTAATTCAAACTTTCTTGCCTGTTCCTTGTCTCGTTGCTCTATCTCCAGCCGAGCTAATCTTAGTTTAAGTTTTGCGGAGGAGGAAACCGAATGGCCCGAAGAAGGTGACGGGTTGAATTTGGGCAGGGTGAACGGTCCCTCCTGAACACCCTCTTCCGACCGTGTAGGAGAAAAACCAATCACCTGTCCTTCTGCAGTCTCCTCCCCCTCACTAACCTCACTCTCCCCCTTCTTCAAGGAACAGAAACCCTGTTCAATCAACCCCTTCCGGACCAACACCAAAAGTTCAGCCTTAAGGGCCTGCGTAGGAACAGAAATCTTGTAATGGTTTGCTATGGCATAGAGGTCTGCCTTACGCAATCCTACCAACTGACTAACCGAGGGCGCATCAACAAAACTGGAGATGGCTGAAGTAGCCATCATGTACACTATTGCGACTTACCGAACACACAACAAAACTAAAGGTCATCCAATTCACAACCCCCACTACTACACCCTAACCACCAACCACAGAGCTCAGAGCAGCAGGGCCAGATGGGAACCAAGCAAGTTGGATCCCGGACGAGCCCCCACTTGTTACGCACGCCTAGTGGAGGAGGGAACGCAACGACCCGCCGCTCGTTATCTCAATGTGGTAATGGGGAAAGAGGTGTGGTGCGTGTAGGTACACGGACGACCAGAACACATATAACCCGTAAATATATATATATATATATATATATACGGGTTGCTTGGGAAAAGGGGCTGGGCGGAACCAAAACAATGAACAAAACAAAATAGTCCCTCTTGCCTATCTGACCTGAAACACCCCCCCCTAACCTAGCTTGAGCACTAGCAAGGCTCACTAACCAAATACAGGGGGTGGTCCGCCCAGGTCTTGCCTAGTGTTTCTAGACAGGAGGATGACTACGGGTGGTGTAGACCCATGGGCAGCTTGCCTACGCACTCCCAAGGTGCTTCCCCTTTTCCCTGGGAACAAAAGACAAAAAAAACAGGATTAAACACAAATGAGAAGAGCGCTTTCACAAGCACACAGAACAAGATTTAACAGAGACTCCAAGTCACTCTCTGCTCTACAACCCACACCCAACGAGCGAGAGCTTCATAACAAAATGGCACCACTTTATGTGTTGCGAGGGAAGGAATCCAGGTGCAGCCACTGACGAGTGGGTGGGGCCAGATCTCCAGTCTGGGGACTGCTGCTCCTGGAATCAATCACCTGTCAAGGCACAAAACAAAGCCACCAAACACAGAAAACTGGGGAACGTAACAATATGTCTGCCTTCTGCTGTAGGGAAATATGTTGTTCACCAGCTTAGTGTTTCGCTGGAGGAGATGTACAAGGGCGGCAGCAGAAAGCTTGGACTTCAGAAGAGTGTGATTTGAGACAGTTGTGAAGGTATGTAGTGCAGATTTTTGTTTTTAATCCTACATAACACGTAGGGTTGCAAAGGGGCGGAAAGTGTCCTGTAAATTTCCGGAAAGTTTCCACAGGAATTTTGGCTTGGGAATTTGGGGAATTTTGAAAAAAATAATGTGCCTAAGTTTTTTTGCAAAAGCATATAACATGGAACTTAAATGTAGTTGAGAACAAGACTATGCACGCCTCGCTTAGCTTGACCCTGGATGCAGCTGGTTGGGAACATTGTCTGCCAGAAACATACACGTAAACCAGTGGCGATTTTAGGCTGAAATTTCTGGTGGGGCAATTTTGTATGACGTCATGTCACCGTCACAAAAATAGAGGTAGCTGATTATTATAAGCAGTAGGCCTATATAGACTGGTAAAATATGGTATGGGCTGCATTTTGAGTGCCAGCAGGGAACAGAAATCCTTTTTCAAATACATGTACAACAGTTTAATAGAGGGGAAGGAGTCTCTGCAAGAGATGGCCATATCTGCAGCCATGGAAAGTGCCATCAAGAGAATCTTGCTGGATGATGTGTTTTGGGAAAGAGTGACTAGCAGCCTGAACATTCTCAAACCCGTAGCAGCAGCTATTATCCAGATTGAAAGCGATGATGCCATCTTGTCAGATGTCCAATGTCTGTTTGCTGAGATCCAAACTGCTTTGCCCACTTCCCTGCTGCTCCCAGTAGAGGAAACCACAGTGGTCAATTCAATGGAGAAGCGCAAAGAGTTCTGCATAAAGCCAGTGCACGCAGCAGCATACATGCTGGACCCAAAGAGGTATCTCTGGTGAAGAGATTAACAGAGCTTACAGTTATAACTACTTTGTCTCTTCACCTGGGTCTTGATGAAGGCAAAGTTCTCGGCAGTCTGGCAAAGTACCGTACGAAGCAAGGCCTTTGGGAAGGAGATGGAATATGGCAGTCGCGCCAGCACATTTCAGCATCCACCTTGTGGAAGGGACTTTGTGGATCTGAGGCCCTTGCACCTCTAGCCTCATCATCCTCCAAATCCCACCAACATCAGCCGCCTCTGAGCGCAACTGGTCACTGTTTGGCAACACGCACACAAAAGTTCGCAACAGGCTCACCAATGCAAGGGTCGAAAAACTGGTGGCCATCCGGGCAAACCTAAGGCTCTTTGAGCCTGACACAGAGCCATCCTCAACGAGCTTGGACAGTGACACCGCAGATGACGACGAGTCAGATGTTGAGGAAGTGGACAGTGAGGAGTACATTGATGAGGTCCAGGAAGAAAGCATTTAGACCTGAAAGGATTCAGGGAAAAACACAAAAAAAAATTGGGGTTGGGGGTGGTGATTTTTTTATTCAACGTTCATGTTTTTGTTGTTTGATGAAAGAATAAAGTTCTTTCAACGAGAAATTCAACTCCAAAGACCACTGCAAGAACTGCAATGGACGCAAAGTGGAACGGCAGAAGAAAATTCTTGAAGTTCACGTTGATAAAGGTAAGACGCCCCCCCCCCTCCTATGAGATGGTCATATTTTACCCTGTATTGGTTGAGTACACATGTTTTGCACTGCAAACTAAACTGAAGATGCATGTGCTGTACAGGTATGAGAGATGGTCAGAAAATTACATTCACTGGAGAAGGCGACCAGGAACTCGGGTTGGAGCCTGGGGATGTAATAATAGTTCTGGATCAGAAGGAGCACCCTTTGTTCCAGAGAAAAGACAATGATTTGACAATGAAGATGAACATCAAACTCGCCGAGGCTCTGTGTGGTTTCAAGAAGACGATCCAAACATTAGACGACAGAATGCTCATCATTAGCTCACACCCAGGTAATGGATGACCGATGTACTCGAGTACTGCCCTTTCTGGTAGATCGTAATGTAATAAATGTAACCAAGACGTCTTTTGCTTTTTTTTTCAAAGTGAAGTAATCAAGCACGGTGACATTAAATGTGTTCAGAACGAGGGCGTGCCAGTCTACAGGGAACCTTTTGAGAAGGGACAGCTTTTCATTCATTTTCAGGTGAGCTACACTGAACACTTTTCCCCACTGTGAAAACTCTTATGCTTTAGAGAACTTTAAATACACGGTCATTGCAATGCATTCGGCAGGTGGACTTTCCAGAGAAAGGCTGGCTACCAGATCATCTCATGTTCCAGCTGGAAAGACTGCTTCCTCCCAGGGACGACGTGATGATTACTGACGACATGGCGGAGGTTCAACTTTGTGAGGTGGATGTGCGGACACATCAGCAAAGTACCAGTGGGGAACCTTAAGAGGAAGACGAGGAGGGTCCAAGAAGTGGAGTGCAATGTCAGACGCAGTAATCAAACAAAAGCTGTTGTAGAGCATGTGGTTTTTCTGTTTTTTTGATTCTTTCTTTGGTGAACATGCTTTTAGAGGTCTGCCTTTCAGAGTAATATAATGGAAATAGGTAGCATTAGGTGTAAAATATTTGACAACGCAATTTTGAGCAACTCTCCTGGTTCACAGATATGCAAGTGGAGTATTCATTGCATTGTTTCATTTCACCAAGTTGGCAGAACTGTATTTTTTAACTGTGCTATGTCTCTACTCAAAATTCACATCTTTTTATATATGTGTGTTTTTCCTAAGAAATCTATGGCACATATTGTCAAAAGGCCCAAAACAATTACTTCTATGCCTTCTGTGAAGGTAATTTTCAAATTGTGACAAACTGTTGTTGTTCTTCAATAAAAGTTCCAGATTGCTTCACATTTTATAACCGATTAATTTATTTCCTTTACAAGATGTTATTGTTCATTTAGAAAAACTTGTTTATTCCAGTTCATTCATCTTTTTAATAAAAGTTGGACATACAGTAGCAGAACCTGCCAATTAGTCAGTGAACAACAGTTTTGTAATTGATGGAAATAAAGGGATTTATCAACAGCATGGCTTGATTACAAAGTGGGGAATCCCTCTTTAGGGTTGCTTCCTCCTGAAAGAGCAACCTGTAAAACAAAGAAAAGTGAGCGAAGGCAGCCTTCTACTTGACATGTGTACACCTTTTTAAAGGTCAACTAGCAGTGATAAAGCGTTGATGGGTTTTACCCTCAGTCAGTCTGGCCTTTCCTCCACTTGACAGGCACAGCACCACGGTCTGCGCAGCCTGCACAGAAACCAACGCACCCTTATGATCAACAGTCAACGTTTCCATGATGTGCTGAGTGAACGTGTGACGCTGTACCTGGACACTTGACGTCCATAAAGTAGGAGTTGGGACTTTGGACGAGTATTTTCTTTTTGTGCTCTCTTCTTTGAAGTTCAATAGAAGGGTGGAGGAGGTCTCTGGCGAGCTACAGGGAAAGTACATTCACTATAGTTAGACAAGTTGTAGACAAGTCAACCCGAGCCAGGTTAAGTCAGATAGGACGAAGCTAAAAGCCAGTGCGTTGTCTTTCCAATACATAACCCGATCTAACGTAACGCAATATGGCAAATATGTCCCCAGTTTTCTTTGCTAACATTAATGCAACATTTTACTGCGGACGTTGACAAACCGCCGATGAACAGAATTAACGACAACTTACGGTACAGTTCAGTACAGTACAGGTTAACGCTAAATTAGCACCGGCTAACCATCGCCATGTGCTTCTGCTGCTACGTACGGCCACCACAATCTCCGAGGGTCCGGGACGCGCAAACAACCGCCCAGTAGGACGATGGGAACTCGATGGGTAAAGGAAATACTGACAGATGACTACATTGTTCAATAACAAAGAAAATAAATCACCGAAGAAGAACAGCGTAACTTACAGGCATTTTCACCGTGTGAGGCTCGCTGTACTGCGCATGCGTCGGCTGGAGGCAGCGGAACGGTGCGCACTGGCGCTGCCAGGAATTGTTGTTGCCAGACCTGAAATATCTTTGGATATTGTGAACACGATATATTATTAACATATAATACACGAGCATTGTCTTTCAATGCAATTTTGTTTGACGAAATTAATCTCAGGACAGACAAGCCTATCAATAAGGGACGTTGGACACCTAAGAAAAAAAATATGGTTTAACGTTACTCATCATCACATTTATCAAAAAGTATCCAAATTAAGGGATTTATTCGACCAGCCACTAATATTGTATTTTAACCGATTCATATGACATTCATTGTAAAAAAACAAAATGTATATTCCAAAAGTTATGCCTCGCCCCTTATCTCTTTAAACGTCATATACCATAATGCAGTTCGGCAAGTAACGACACTCCCCTTCGGCACCAGTCAGTTTCCCTAATCTCCCCAAAACAGCTGAGGATTTCCAGGCGTAGGGACCCCGGCCCAATACGGTGAATTACTAGCGAAGCGTCGGAGTCTACGGTGTTTTGAAATGGCAAAAACGTACGATTATTTATTCAAGCTGCTGCTCATCGGAGACAGCGGAGTCGGCAAGACATGTCTGCTGTTCAGGTTCAGCAAGGACTCCTTCAATACCACCTTCATATCCGCAATAGGTGAGCAGCGCGCTGCCGCACCTAAAGATCTATCTGACAGAATGCATGCCTTTATCAGCCGATGCATCCTAGCATTGCAGGCATGTCGTGGTACTATATATAGACATATGACACTTTTCATATTTTATTGTTATTTTAACGGCATTATGAAATAAGTCTCTGGAAATAAAAAACGGCATTATGAAATAAAAGACTCTGGAAATGATAAGTGGCATTATGAAATAAAAGTACCATGAAATAATTAAATGTATTTAATATTTATGTATTTATTGCATCATTTATTTATTTCATGATGTATTTCAAATGCATATTTCATGTATTTACGTATTTATTCATTTATTTAATTTTGACTAAAACGGCATTCCATATCATTGTAGTGATCACCTGTCCTTGATGGCTCATGTTTAGGCACTAGAGGTTAAATGTGGAATGAAATGAAATACTATAGTGATGATGGATAACCTTTGGAAACCTCATTGAAACACAAGGCTTTCATTCTTGTATTCAGAATTGTTAAAATATAGTTATGTCCCCCATTAAGCTCTACAGTACACTCCAGCAGAGCTCTGGCCTGTGACATGAAATGATGCCATCCCAAAACTTGACATAGGATTAACAGTTCATTGAAATGTTATTTACTCACATAGGGGAAGAAGATTAGCAAAAATGTTTAATACTTACATGTAACTAATCAATGCAGTAACCATACGCCTTTGTCTGTGGTTGTTTATTGAAAAAAAGGAATAGACTTCAAAATCCGAACAATAGAGCTGGATGGAAAGAGAGTCAATCTTCAAATATGGTAAAGGATATTTCACTATTTAAGTTTTGTTTTTTTCTTTAAAGAATCTGAATGTGATCCTACTGTGTACTTCTGACTGAATGTTTTTTAGGGACACTGCAGGAAAGGAGCGGTTTCGCACCATCACCACAGCTTACTACAGATGAGCAATGGTGTTTGTACATCACCCTGCACATCCTCCCTATTGGTTTATTTCATGTATTTAAGGGTTGGAATTGTTATTTACAAGGAGGACTGTTTTTCTTCACAGGGCATCATGTTGGTCTATGACATCAGCAATGAGAAGTCTTTTGAAAACATAAAAAACTGGATCAGAAATATTGAAGAGGTGAGCACTGAATTGAAACTAGTATTAGTAGCTGTCTAATATTATAAGCACAACTTTGCATAATGACTCTCCTGGATTTCCAGCACGCCTCGTCTGACGTGGAGAAGATGATACTGGGTAATAAATGCGACATGTCCGACAGGCGACAGGTGTCCAAAGACAGAGGGGGAAAAGTCCGTTTTCGCAGCCAAATCATTAAGAATCAGTCAGAAACAAATGACAATGCTGGTAAGGTTGAGTGACACTCTAACAATGTATTTCTCTCTCATTTAGCTGGCTATTGATTATGGAGTTAAGTTCTTGGAAACAAGTGAAAAGTCTAGTCTAAATGTCCAAGAGGTGAGTTAATTTTTGTTAACCCTGAAAGAACCAAGTAACACAGCCAACGAAGATGTACATTCAACATGTTTTTTTAATTTCTATTTGTCATTCCAGGCTTTTTATAACATGGGAAGAGACATATTACATAATCTGAGCTCAAAGACAGTAAGTGATTGATACTTTTACAATATATGGAGTCAGACCAATTCACTGAAATCTCTTGTCACTTTCTTCTTATTGTCCAGCTGCCATTTTTCAGATAATAAAAAATATATATATAAAATGCTTATCTAGGTTGCCTCAGCAAATGAGCATTAGTGGGTGCATGTATTCCGCCTCTCGGGCTACAAACTGCCTCCAGTTTATTGATAGTACTGTTACAAGCATAACATTTCTATATTTTTCCAACCCTGACAACCAGTTTCATCATAATGTTTATTCGCTCGATTGATGGGAATATAATTCAAATCTATAACCTTGACAGGTGCTACGATTAATGTGAAGCTTTATTTATAACTTTTTCTCCACCACTTTTTTTCATTCATAGACTGACAACAACGCCGGAGGATCAGGCAAACCTGTCAAGATCACCGAGAAGAAGTCGACGAGGATAAAATTCTTCAAGTGTACACTCCTCTAAGCGGATCATCTCTAGTGTTCACAGCTCTAGAGGGACTTTTGCCGTTTCTGACCCGCCTCCCGGGCGTCCTCCCAGCAGCGAGCGCAGTGGTAATATGAGAGTTCCTCACCGCCAGCTGAAGCTCACGGGTTCACCGGCGGTCGTGATGCCATCCTGATCGGCTTTGAGAGGATCAATAAGGACTCAGGCCTGATACTGTATATCCTCTCATTCAAAAGACCTGTGTGTGATTGTCAGAATTAGTTTTTAACGGGTTCTGCGGAGTCTGCTCACAGGAGGCAGAGATAATACCTCTGTTGGATGTCCAGAGCATTGTCTTTATCTAATATAATACAATTCCACCTAGTTGTCTTATAAATAGGGGGGAAAAAAACAAAAATGCAGATTATTTCATAAATTGTAGCATCATTTTATACACTCGATATACTATTAAATCTATGCAGTATTGATTGTTCTTGTCTCTGTGAATTCATGTATTCGTATATGCCTACAGTCTCCTGTTGCACTGGCACCATTTATAATTGTTATTACGTGCCTCTAAGGAGCTATCGTTTTGTGATTTTAAAAAAAGTATGAATATAACCTACCGTACTGAAGGAAACCTTCATTTTAACAGGTTTGTGTGTCAAAATGAAACTGCGAAAGGTGGTTTGTTTCTTGGGAGCTGTACAAGAAACAAGAGCCCTCCACTACATTCTCCAGCATCTGGACTCCCCAGGAACCTACGCCAGGATCCTGTTTGTGGACTTCAGCTCTGCCTTCAACACCATCATCCCGTCTCTGCTGCAGGACAAACTCTCCCAGCTGCACGTGCCCAACTCCACCTGCAAATGGATCACAGACTTCCTGTCTGACAGGAAGCAGCACGTGGAGCTGGGGAAACATGTCTCTGCCTCTCGGTCCATCAGCACCGGTTCCCCCCAAGGCTGCGTTCTTTCCCCTCTGCTCTTCTCCGTGTACACCAACAGCTGCACCTCCAGTCACCAGTCCGTCAAGCTCCTGAAGTTTGCGGATGACACCACCCTCATTGAACTGATCTCTGGTGGGGATGAGTCCGCCTACAGGTGGGAGTCTGACCATCTGGTGTCCTGGTGCAGTCAGAACAACCTGGAGCTCAACGCTCTAAAGACAGTGGAGATGGTTGTGGATTTCCGGCGGAACAGAGCCCCACCCTCCCCCATCACCCTGTGTGACTCCCCTGTCACTATTGTGGATTCCTTCCGTTTCCTGGGCTCCATCATCACCCAGGACCTCAAGTGGGAGCTGAACATCAGCTCCATCACCAAAAAGGCTCAGCAGAGGTTGTTCTTCTTGAGGCAGCTGAAGAAATTCAACCTGCCAAAGACGTCGATGGTCCACTTCTACACGGCCATCATCGAGTCCATCCTCTGCTCCTCCATCACCGTCCGGTACGCTGCAGCCACAGCCAAGGACAAGGGCAGGCTGCAGCGTGTCATCCGCTCTGCAGAGAGGGTGATCGGCTGCAATCTGCCGTCCCTGCAGGACTTGTTCGCTTCCAGGTCTCTGAAGCGAGCTAAAAAGATCGTGGCCGACCCCTCTCACCCCGGACAAAAACTGTTTGTGCCCCTTCCATCTGGCAGGAGGCTGAGGTCCATCAGGACTAAGACCTCCCGCCACACGAACAGTTTCTTCCCGTCGGCAGTCGGGCTCATCAACAGAGCCCGGTCCCCCACTAACTGTCTATAACATTCCACCGGTCACTCCCCCTCATACTGCACATGTTACTTTAACTGTAATTCATCACTTTGTCGTCACTCGTCACTTTGTTACTTGTTCGTTAGTGCACTTTATGCTTAATTTTTTTAAATTTTTTTAAAAACTTTTTTAATATTTAAAATTGTTAACTTTATTCCCTTGTTTTATACTAACCAATAGCCTTATTCTACTAACCCATTGCATTAGCATTTCATTTTACTTTATATATTTATTTTATTACTTACTGCTGTCTTGTCTGTCTACTGTCGCGCACCAACTGCCAAGACAAATTCCTTGTATGTTTGGCATATTTTGGTAATAAATGTTTCCTGATTCCTGATTCCTGATAACTACATATAGTTGTGCCATTGTCAGTATTTTCATGAAAGCTATAAGGTGGAAAAGTATTAAGCACATTTAAAAGTATCTGAGAAGAATATGTTTAAAGATTATTCAAAAGTGTCAATCATATCTGAAAATGTTTGTGATGTTCAAATAGTGTTTTGATTTGGGCCTAACTAACTGATGTGTGTTTACTTTATTTTCACCATAAAATGTAGACATTAAACACGAAAACACAATATTTGAGGAAAGCTGTTATGTGAATGATTTGGAATTACTGTTTGTTAAACCAATGAAAGAGTAAAGAAAGTGAATATGTAAAAGAGAAAGCTATGGGTTTTTTTCACTACTTTGTACTGAACTGAACTAACATTTAATGCATGACGGAAAGAAAAGAAAGTGTGGGAATGAATTACTGCCATTCTATTTTCTATCTATCTATCCGACCAAAGGAAGGATAGTTCTCTGCATTGCTGTAACCATTCAATTCGTCCTCCATAAATAATTAATTCCTAATTTTGTTTCATCCCACCTCTCTTTATGGCTCGTATCTAATTTCCAGGCAGAATATCTTCTCTCTGCTCTGCCTCCATCTTCTTCCCTGCACCGTCGCCTGCTACTCTGCAGGCTTCAACCAGGTCCCTCTCGCTGCTCGAGGCCCCGGGATCCTTACTCACCACCTTTGCTTTCCTCTCACGGGTGTTGAAGCTCTGCGATCTGTGCAATGGAAATCACTTTTCATCAGCCAGTCAGATATTCAGTAGCGTCTGAGAGATTCCGCTTGGCCTTCATCTTTGTGTGGCCTCCTGCGGGTTCCTCTGCTGGACGAGCTCCTTTGCTTTCCGTCTGGTACTCCCCTGTTTTAAGTTCTGTGGGTGCAGCACAGGCTTGAAACTGCTGGGAGAGAGTTCTGACCGTTGAAACTTTCGTCATGGGACCGGTAGTGCTCGGGTGCATCTTGTTCTCCAAGTTCTCTGGCCGCTGGTTCTGTGTTTTAGTGAGCTGCTCCACTACCGACTTAAAGTCATCCGTTTGCACATCATCACCTGCCTCCGCTGGTTGGTGGAGGATGCCGCTCATGGCTCTCCTCTTTGTCACGGGAGACGTCTGACTTTGGATTTTACCATGGAAATATTTCAACGATTTAGTCCTCTTTCGGGAAGAGGAAGTTACAGACTTCTTTGAAGTCTCATCTGCTTCCTTGGGCTCATCAGGCGGGCTGACAATTATGGTGCTCATAGCCCTCCTCTTTGTCAAAGGAGAAGTGGCTTGGTCTTCAACTGGAGAGTATCTCAAGGATTTGGTTCTTTTCGGTGCAGAACAATGCTTTAGTCTGTCCAGCAGCATCGTGCTGCCGTTTTTTAGGTTGGATAAGGTCTCTTGACTCGATGCAGCAGAGGCAAGCTTCGGTTCACATGGCGATATGAGAATGCCCACGCAAGAACCTGGTCGTGATCTGTCCAGACCACCGACCTCTAAGGTCTGTCCGCTTTTCTTGCGGACAGACCAGGGTTGCGAATACTGGAGGCTTCCCTCAGGCTCCTCTGTCTCTCTACGCCAGTTTTCGTTGTCTCATCTGTGTCCTTCTGCTTCGACGCAAATTCCTCCATGTCCATGTGGAAGCGGTACAGACTATAGCAATCAGCACTGTTAAGGCTCACAGGCGGACGAGGTTCGTGAATGGCTTCTGGTCAGTTCCAGTTTGTCCATGCCCGCAAGCTTTTCCAGGGTGACCACCATCCTTCCGTGGATCTCTTCGAGCTGTGCCAAGCGCAGATCCACTGTCTGCAGGGAGGCCTTTATAGTGTTCTCCCTCTTGTTTACCTCCTCCAGGCGCATGGACATATTCTCAACACTGCCGAGAAGACCAGAGAGAAATAGTCTATGCGATCAACATGGTTACAGATGTGTGAGATGTGATTCAGAGGGGTTTTCACTTTTCTGAGGTAACCTTGATGCGTTCGTCACTGGAAGACTGCTGCTCATCCTCTTCCTCGCAGAAATATTCCTCCACACACTGCTCTTCAAACTCATACAGACATTTGAGCTCCTCTGGATTCAGCCTGAGCTCTGATAGAAAGAAATCATGATCAGAATCTATACTCTCCTATAATTGAGGCTGTATTAATGTGTGCATGCTTTTGTTTTTGTATCATTAGATAACTTACTGAGTCCGCGATCCTTCTCATCCAGCTCTCCATCTTGTTTCTTTCTGGAACATCGGCGAAACAGCCGGTTGAAGAGGATGTAGATGTGGCTAAAAATAATGAGAGGTGGCGGCAGGATGGGGCAGTAATGGAACGTCATGGTCAGCTGATATCTCTGGAACTTCCACACCTGGTTGGAAATGGACTTGATTTCACAGAAAGTGTTGCTGTGGGACAGGAAACCAGGACCAGTGAGCACGCACTTTACTGGCAGATGTTCCTTGAAACACGGTAGAGCAGTTAGACATGCAAGCAGATACTTACTTGAACACGGCGATCAGCAAGTTGACCAGAAGAATGTTTGCCACGAGGAGGTAACAGGCCATGATGGCAGGTGTGAGCCAGGCACCGGGGATACACGGAGGCAGTTTCTTACCGTCCTCATCAAATAAATGGTCACCACATGGAGCTGCAGCAAACAAAGAGATCTATCTGTAGAAATTGAGCTGTTTGGCTGAACTGATTTGAAATGCGTTCTTGGTTTGAAGACTACTCACGGTTGATTTCCATCGCGTAGACTTGGGAGAACATTGAAAAGGCATGAGAATCAATAGTGCCAGTTTGTTTCATGTATTGCCCTTCTGTCAAGGTCAAGCGGATGTCCGTGAAAGACCAGACTGGTTTTCTAAAAAATGTTTCCCCAACTTCCAGTAATAAAAAAAGTTCAAAGATTTGTATCTCTCGCTTCTGTTTTAGTAGATTAAAGCAAACACAAGGATCAGCAACTTCCTCAGAAAACAACTGTGTTACTATTTAATAACCAATTGCTGGTTATTGCTTTCACCCTGACAGAAGAAACACTGGCAGAAAAATATTTAAAGGCAGATGATCATGATTCCGAAAATGACATAATAATACTATTCCGCTCCTCCTCAATGCAAAATGATTACCATGTATTGAAGAATAATATAGATTTTCCAGCAGAGGGAGATAAATATGAAAGGGGTAACACTGTGCTATGTTACTCACAAAGGATCAGGGAATGAGGGAATATGAGACAGGAAAAGTACTGTAACATTGATCATCTGCCAAGAATCAGAAAACAGAATCTTACTATGAACTCGCGTCTTACGGTCTATCGAGTCCGCAAAAACCTCTCCGTAGATCATCCAGTAGGGCATGTAGAAAATGTTTCTGGCCAGGCGCCACGTCGGCTCCTGATCGGGGTGAAGGATGGCTTGCCTGAGGCAAGGCATGATCACCACAAAGTACATCATATCTATCATCTGAAAGACGAGAAGCAAACGCAAATTTGGACTCGGTGTGAACCTCTGTGCATTGTGTTTGTGTCGCATGCCATGTGGTTTCTACATGATTTGCAAAACAGTAAATGTTGTTACCATCTTCCCTATCATCATCCAAAGATGTCCAACACACGGATGTACCAGAAGATTATGTCTATGCCATAGGTCACTAACTGGCGGACCGCGGTCCGGGTCCGGACCCAGAGGCCGTCCCATCCGGACCCGGACCGCCAGCCAAAACAGAAGGTTGTGATTTAAAACCTGACGCGTTTTTATTTTTTTTACCCGGCGGCGCGGCGCGGCTTTTGCAGTACTTACGGTAGTGGTTTAGCGGATGAGGAAACGAACAGACCAATTGCATGCGAGTTAAGCCATCCCACGTGATACCATTCAGCCAATCAAATCTATGCATTCTCGGCGGTAAACATTACGTCTCAAGACAGCGCTGCGGCCGCGCTGAGAGATGAGAAAGTTAGAGAAAGAAAAAGAAAGATAGCGACACATTTAGAAAACAAAGGGAGAGAAACGGACGACTGTGCCGGAGAAAGTTGAGGAAAAGTCGATTGAGACAGCAAAGGGAGAGAAACGGACAACTGCGCCGGAGAAAGTTGAGGAAAAGGCGAGTGAGACAGAGAAAGGGAGAGAAACATAAGGAACAAATGTCGCTCTCCAAAAAAAGAAAAGTTGACAGCGAAAATAGAGCATTTAATCCGGAATGGACAGACTCATTTCTGTTCATACTTCCCACAGGGAGCACAAAACCAGTGTGTCTTATATGTTCAGAAACCGTGGCACTTATTAAAAGTGGCAATGTGAAACGCCATTATGAGACAAAACATAAAGGTTTTGAACAAACATACCCACTCAAATCCGAAGTGAGATCACAGAAAATAAGTGGCCTCACAGCCCAATATGAACAGTCAACCAGGATCCTGAGCCACACGTTCACTGCCCAACAACGTGCTCATGAGTGTTCCCTCAGAGTTGCTTGGATTTTGGGGCAACACAAAAAGCCATTTACTGATGGAGGGCTTGTCAAAGAATGCATGAGTGTCGTCGCTGAAACATTACTTGACGGAAAACCAAAACAAGAGCTTTGTGATAAGATAAAGCAAATACCCATGTCAGCATCATCTGCCACAAAGAAAGGTGAAATATTAACTCAGGATGTGCTGACCCAGCTAAATGAAGCCATACATAAGGCACCATGTGTAGGCTTAGCTGTGGATGAGTCCACTGACATCTGTGACAATGCTCAGCTGTTAGTGTATGTCAGGTTTTTCAACACAGACCAGAAAGCATTCTGTGAAGACCTGTTAGGTGTCACTCCCCTTCAAACCAGTACAAGAGGAGAAGATATCTACCTGGCCATTAAGGAGATGTTAACGAAGAGAGGAATAGAGCCAACACAAGTGGTTTCAATAGCCACAGATGGAGCCCCTGCTATGATAGGGAGAGAGAAAGGAGCTGTAGCAAGACTGAAAGAGGACAATCCAGAGCTCATAGCTTAGCATTGCATCATTCACCAATCTGTCCTCTGTGCCTCCCTGTCAGATGAGCATGCTGAAGTGATGAATACAATGATGAAAATGATCAATTTTCTCAGGGCATCCTCTTCCACCCAGCATCGCATGCTGAGGGAATTCCTCAGAGAAGTTGATGCCAATGCTGATGATCTTTTGCTGCACAATAATGTGAGATGGCTCAGCAAAGGGAAAGTCTTAGCGCGCTTTTGGTCCATCAGCAGGGAAGTAGCATCTTTTTTGGCAGAGCTAAGACATCAGAAGGCAACGCAGTTTTCTCTCTTTTTAAGAAATGAGAAACAGATGGATAATGTGGCCTTTTTGGTTGATATCACTGCACATCTGAATGAACTGAATTTGAGGCTACAGGGCAAGGACAATTCAATTTGTGAACTGATGACCGCTGTCCGCTCCTTTCAAAAGAAACTTGAGTTGTTCAAGGAAGACCTGCAGGGAGACTGTGCACACTTCCCAGCAGTGCAGGAACAGGTACAGGGACAGAGAGATGTGTCTTCTTTTGTTGACTTCATCGATAAGCTGATCGTAAACTTCAGCAACCGTTTTGACAGCTTCAGCTTTGGACAGCAGCTCACCATGTTCATTCAGAACCCATTTTTCATCACGGATGTCAGGGGGTTCTCAGAGGAAGTCACACAGCACTTTAAATGGGTAAATCCTGGGCCTCTCCGGATGCAACTGGTTGATCTCCAAGCAGATGTGTCCCTGAGAGAGCAGTTTCTAAGAACTGACCCTTCCACTTTCTGTCTCCAAACGGTCGGACAGCTTTTCCAGGTCTGAGGAATGTTGCCATATACATCTTGACCATGTTTGGCTCCACCTACAACTGCAAGGCAGCTTTCTCCACGATGAATATCATCAAAAATAAATATCGTTCGAGGCTCACCAATGAGCACCTCCACATGTGCATGCGGATGGCCCTGACTCCATTCAAGCCCAGGTTTAAAGTCCTGGCAGGACAAGCTAGAGCTCAATTCTCCCACTGACCAACAAAGTGGGGAAGTGGGATGCAAGACTAATGCTCTAAAACTGTTAAATTGTTAAGATGTGTTAAGATTTATTATCTGTAAAATCGTTTGGGACTGAAACAGAAACGGGGACATTTAAGCTTTTCCTCCCTTTATTTATTTTTTCTGAAGTTAAGGACTTTATTTGATTATTATTATTTATTATTACATGCACCATTTTCATTTTGCATTTATTTTATTTTAAAAATGCAGCCCTACTTTTATTTAGTTCATGAGAGAGCATTATACATATCTGCAGTCACACAAAAGTCCAGTTCTATGTTACATGATAATAAATATTGTTAAAAAGTGTTTTAATCGTACCGAATTCCTTTGATTTGAAAGGTATTGATTATATGCAGATGTTTATACAACTACCAGGCTACTTAAATATATATCACACTAAATAGTTAGACATTATGATCTTCTGGACCTTTGCTTCAAGAAAATTTCTCCAACTGGACCTCTACCTCTGGACATTTTAGTTGAATACCCCTGGTCTATGCAGTAGATGACTCTGCCGTAGCCCATGTAAGGCTCGTGCTGCAGACGGAGCATCAGACCAAGGAGGAAGGTGCAAATGGCCGCCAGGTCTGTGATGTTCCAGTACTCCTCCAGCCACACACTTGTCTTCTGTTTCAGCTTCCCCGGCTCGGACATCAGAATCTACATATTTAAAGGTTATGCAGATGTAACAAAATGTCTACAATTTTTACATGTATATTATAGGCTGCAGGGTGAGCATGGGGAACAAACTTTCTTTTGACCGTCATTGTCATCGTCATCGTCATCGTCATCGTCATCGTCACCGTCAATTACTGTAGTAATTATTGTCACTAACGTCACTACGAAGTTTTATACGCTGTTGATCCTCTCTTGACTGATGAAAGGCATCTATCAATGTAAGTGATTGGCGTGTATTCTTTCTGCTGGTGAAACGGAGTAATAAACATCAGATGAAATACTTCAGTGCGATAGTATATTCTCCTCATGTCTTAGCCTGCTGCGGCTTTTGGATAGTTTTGTTGTGTATAAGCCGCTACATATATGTATACACATATAAAGACTCATGCAAGAGCAGATTGATCATATTTAATGGCTTTTACCTGTCTGACTTTTTCTGATCCAAGCGTGAGGATGTATGCAATGACGGTCCATTCTTATAAACATGGCAATCGCTTCATTCTTACCAGGATTATGTAGTTGTACAACATCAAATATCCCAGATAGCAAATCTAAAATAACAAAATACCATTGTATTTTAGTCGCTACACTCTCAAGTGAAAAAAATACCAAATAAATGTGGGAAAAGTTACAGTATTGAACCAGAATTTGGTGAATGGCACATTATAAAACTCAAAGAACCTTTTGCCAATCGGGATTTTGCGGACATTAGTGCTGCTCTCCTACATATACATATATAATTATAATTATAACAACATAACAGCAAACTCTTTAAGCTCATAATTTTCACCTCTAACAAATAACGGTATTCAAAACGTTTGTGTAAAATTACTTTGCCGGATTTTGAGTCGTCATCCTTGTCGTTTCCTTGTTCTTTGTTTTCAGCTGTACGATAAGATGCACCCTCTTTGAGACGGAAATCCAAAAGTAGGATCAGAGGAGGAAAGACAATTCCAAGAATAACCTTGAGGAGAAAAACGTTTTCATAAGACACAGTTTGTTATTTTATTCTTACTTTCAGGCAATATTACATACACGTCAACCTGTCAACCTTGAGGCCGGGATTTTTGCCCATCCTTAAGCAGCCCATCCACATGTCAGTGAGCAACATCTGGCTGCAGGTGTAGGCAATGAAGTTGCGTTGCTTAGCAGCCACAGCCAGCTTCAGACAGGTGGAGTTACTCCAGTTGACCAGCTCGTATGTTTCATAGCGACCTGTTCGTCATGCTTGTAGGACTGGTCCAACAGCTCATAGGCAAGCTGACCAAATTCTCTACGAAAGAGTGGAAGCTATATTATTCATTTGTTTATTGCAATTACACTCAAAAGAGTTTGAGATCACAGAGATTAAAAGACATGCAAAATAAGATGATAAAAAGCAATGACAATAATTGGACAATTATATTACTATTAATGCCTTGTGAAAACGAAAAACTGAAACAAGTGTGAGAGATATTAAATGTTCTCACTTTGAGTTGTTCTCCAGGTCTTGGGAGATGTCATCCACCAATTCACTGTCAAAGCACTCATGTGCCATGGCTTTATACAGTTTACAGGCCACCAGGGCCTTCGCCATGGCTTCTTCTCCACGCTTCCACAGAAACAGTGCCATCTTCTGGCGCTTCATCAGCACCGTCCACAGCATCAGCTCATGGAAGGGAAACTTGAATCCTCCACGTCAATTTCCACCTTCGGCTGCAGAAAGAGAGCAAAACATCATTAACACCGTTAAGCGTTACTTAATATAATGAACAAGCTGTTATCATTCCACCCCCAACCAGTCGTACCCTTTTTAGTCCATACAAATTATTGTAGAGGTTGCGGAAAGCATTCCTGGTGTAATTGCTCCTGTAAGCTCCCCCCATGAAGCACTCCAGCACATGACCAATATCAATCACAGGGATCTGATAATCTGGAGGAAGGTTCCCCTGCAAAACCACCAGAGCAATATATATTATAGCAAGTGCCTCAAGATGATATACAACCAGAAACAGTCCTGTCAATGTACATTATGCAGAAAATAGCATGTAATTGGAGAGATTTTGTACACTTTTGACATCCCTCACCACAGTATTGAGTGAATTAGCAGGACCAAGTTTCTGATGGAAGAGTAAAGAAAAAAAGAAACAGGTTGTGTAATTAGTCTCAAGCAAACATATTTGTCAGATCTGTATATTAAATGGATTCAGTCTCATTTTTTATTTCATTTGAAGTGTGTCAGGCCCGTGTTGTATAACTCCTCCAGTCTGGGAATGGTGAGGAAGTGGTGAATATTGACCCCATTCTCCAGGAGCAGTTTGACAAAGTCGACTCGGTCAAGCACGAGAGCATCCATCATGGCCTGCTCCAGAAAGTTCACCTAGAGCCAGATAGGTGACTTGACATTTACACGTCACAGCTTTTATTATATATTTATACTTCTAACTAAAGTGAGAATTGTTTCCATAAACTCCACTCTCACCCAACGCATCAACTCCCAACTTCCTGGGGTCTGTTTCCTCCGGGGGTTCAGGCTTTGTCTTTCCCTTCCCCATTCCCTTCTTTCCTCGGCCTTTATTTTGAGGAGCACGGGCAGGACTCTTTTGCTTCTCTTGAGCTGGTGCTCCAGAGGTCGTAGCGTTGGCGATGGCGCCGGCCGGCTTACCAAGGAAACGTAGGGAATCGCAAGAATACAAATGGAAATGAAATGTCTGCCGCTAGTATTAGTTGTCATTGGAATTTGTGTGAATCTGAGACAACGCAGTTTACAGGAGACATCTACTAAGGATACTCTGTTGTTTAAAGATTCCCACCAGATATAGTTGAAGGCATATAAAACTACTATGTTTCTTCCCACCAAGTGAAGTAACAATAAGCTACATACATTTTCAGTGGAAGGGGATTTTGAGGAACTCCAAGTCAAAAGCAACTGATTTTCCTCCTGTACTAAATACATTTACCAAATGTACTGCACTCATGTGAAATGATTTATGGACACGATTCACATGCGAGCCCCACTTACTGGTAAATTGTGTCAGTAAGCAAATATGTGATTGCGAGCAATGTCCACTCTGTTCCACGCCAGGGCCAAACTAAGCTGATCGGCTGCTGCTGCATTTGTGCCTGATGCCATAGAAATGTAAGGACGGGAAGAGAGAGAATACCGCGCATGTAGTAGATGACAAAAGAAAGTAACACACACTGATATATCTCGACTCTTTGCTGTCCTTGCGCCAAAATGGTGGAACGAGCTCTCTGAAGACACCAGGACCGCAGAGAGCCTTCACATCTTCCGCCGCAAACTAAAGACACACCTCTTCAGACTCTACCTCGACTAAAGACTAACAAATTGTAGCACTTAAATTGTACTTGTAACGTCACTCATCTATAGCAAATTGTAAATTGGCTTATTTGAGGAAATTGCACTTTCTTGTTTCTTGTTCTCCTGAGTTTGTACCCTATGGTTGAATGCACTTATTGTACGTCGCTTTGGATAAAAGCGTCCGCTAAATGACATGTAATGTAACGTAATGTAATGATATGCCGGTTGCAATGCAGCCCGATCGTAACTTTTAACAGGCCGGTAAGAATGGCCATTTCAATATCTTGTTGTCCCTCAGAACCCATTCGAAAAACTGTGATCTGCGTGTGAAAAAAAACAAAACGTAAAGAGAAGAAACTGCCGCAGATGTGGAGCCGTACCCTGCAGTGATTGAATCGGTTGATAACAAACCACCAAAACAAATGGAGGAACGATCTAACTGCAGATGTAAACATGTGGTGATGAACTGGTGGGAGATTGTTTTCAGATAGACCTCTCGCTGCAGGCTGAACTCTTTTTGCCGGTCAGACAGCATGATTGGGTTTTCCTTTGTTTATGGACTCAACTTTATCTAATGAAATTACACAGACGGGGCTGTCACATGTGCAGCCATGCTGAATGGGATTAAGTTGGCATGCGCATGTGGCGCGGCGATAGGGATGTCTGTGCCGGTCTCGGGATGCGTCGACAATGAAGGCCGATAAACTCTGCGGCTCTTTCAGACAGTTGTGCTTTTTTCTCACAAATAGGGAGACTATTAAATTAGTGAACTCCTGACTTGTTTATGTATTGCAGCCAGATGTTACATCACAGCAAATCTCAGCCTACTAAATCAGTGATTGTTAAACCCAGCTGTTCATATGGATTGCATTTAGGATGAAAGGATTACTTGGGGACCAGACTGTGAAACTGATTCACCTGTAGGTTAGTCATGGCACTTTAGATTAAGAACAGTTGGCCGTGGGGCCTTTTAGTTGCTCATGAAGACCTCAAACAACCTGATGGCTCAGTCAGATTGTCTGGGTTGAGTATCAGTGAAAACCAAATGCCCAGAGTGGAATGATCTTTGAAAAAGCAGCTTAAGTTGCTTATCTGAGTGTGTTAGCGCATTAGGCGGTCTAATACGTTGGGGATAGGCGATGCAGAGTCGCTGGGGAGGTGATATCACTCAAAAACATGGGGAGTGGAAAGAGAACCTGGATGAGGATTAGGGAGATGGATCCTCTCCTCCATCTGTGTACTTCATGCTTACTGTGGATGGATGAAGTAAGAGTCTCTGCTAAGCAGGTGGCAGTGTGACCTGATCTGTTACACCCAAATATATGGAGTCTGCAGATTAAATATACACTGACTATTACAAACTAAGTATCTGCCGCTGAAGTGCGTGCTGAAGTCACCCACAACTTCTCTGCATTATTTCATTTGAAACCCAGTTCATCTCTGCAGAATCAGACACCTGGCACCACTTAACAGCAGCATGCTGCTTATAGATGAGGATTGATGATGTCGTGAAGATGCGAATGCCCTAGATTACATGAACATATGGCACATGACCACAAGGAGAGATGACGAGCATGCTGTGGGGATTATGTTTATTCAATATGTTAATGGACATACACAGATGAGTGCAGTGGATAAATGACGCTGGAGACCAGATGCCTCACAACTCAGAGATATTTATTTATTGACACAGACGTGTTATTTAGAAAAATGACTTGGAATAGCCTGAAGATATCAACACCTTCAGTTTACTCTCCTACTCACCAGTTCCCTTTTCTTCATGCACTCCATAACCATGAGCAGTATCTGCCGGGACTGGCTTTTAATATAGTTGAAGGTCTTCTGAATAGTTACCAAAAGTTGCTCTCTGACATCATCATTGATCATCCTGCAAAAAGGAGATTCGAGGAGAATACATCAGCTTTATTTGTTTTTACCGGAGGATCGACAATCAACGTACACAAAAGGGAAAATGACAGAAAAGCGCACCCTCCGTCCTCTGAGAACTTGTGTGCAAAGGATATTATGTCGGAAGCTGGGCCGCTGCCGTCGCACACCACCACGGGGACGGGCGGATCGTCTCTCAGTCTCTCCAGAGCGATGGAGATCACGTTGGGGCCTCCCTCCACTATCATGCACACTAGAGGAACCCCCTGACCCAGACCTGGAAAAAAAAGCCAGAAATACTTCTAGTTCTTCCGTCCAACCATGTGTGAGTGTCCCCTCATGATAACAAAACGTTGGAAATGAAATGTTGAAGGGGAACGTCTTGATTTGATGGGCCAACGGACGAAGCCGCGGGAGCGAGTGAAGTCGGTGGTGACAGTTGAGCATCTCTTTGCTGTCCCTGCCTTATCCGAGCTCCAGGCATAGGATGACAAAGGGAAGCCCATAGGTACCAGAGGAGCTTTTAGGCCTAGCCTTTAGGCTTAGGGCCTCTCCTACGTGACGGATCACCCCTGAGGTGTAAAGAGCAGAATGTCGCAAACATGAACTGTAACTCTTTGTGATGTTGCTGGATCATGGGACACAGCGCTGTTACTGACACGCAAAACCCAAGCAAATCTCTAATTTTAGGGTTTAAACCCGTGATAATGGGTCAGTCAAATCACACAAATTGTTATGTTGTGAAGGGAACGATAAAAGCGTTACCCTAAACTGCCAGCGTCCTACCTGTGTTGACCCCACCGGTGAAAATCCAAGCTCCTGTGGTGACGGCAGCTTTGATCAGGCCTTTGCCAAACACTTGCTTGAGTTTGGGCTGCAGGTCGAAGTTCTGGAGACCTCCATGGACGGAGGTGAGCAAGGTTGGCAGTTCCAGCTGCCAGTCCTTCACCATCAAATGCAGGAGGTTGTCAGGTTTGGTGTCATAGGAGACTCTAATATACTGTGGAAAATTGGGGAAGGGAACCGTGCGGTGAGTTATTTCTAGTCAGTGTAGATTCTTTTTCCGTGGGCTTTGACTCACCATGGCCTTGTTGATGAATCCGCCGCTCTGGAACTCAATCAGGCCGTAGGCATCTGTCAGGTAGGTCCTGGTGTGCTTGATCACACTCCATTTATCCTTCGGGGTGTCAATCTGCACCAGCTGGTTCGCTTCCTCTAGGGAGTTGGCACCGGCGGGGATGGCCACGTGCTGCGACGTCAGCTGATCACAGGAACATCTACGTAGACACACAGAACAGACCGGTCGGTCCGGGGGGCCCCTGCGGGGACGTAGACTTAAAAACGCGCGTCGACCGTTCATAGAAATCCCTTCAGCAGCATCCCATCTATCCAGCCTGCAGCGCCTGGCGGCTCCCAGAGACCCGGACAGTATGCATGTCCCACAATACACTGGGAAATATAATCCTGATAAATGTCTCATGACCTGTAGTCAGCACTGTCATACATGCAGTAAATGTAAAAGATATTTCATTTATTTATGTCATTATATAGTCTTCAGTAATGTAAGATCTAATCAGTTTTCACCAGCCTGCTTATTGTAATTTTTTTTAAATAAAGCTTTGCAATTTTAGAGAGTAACATTTTTCTTCAAATTGTTCATGTATCCGTAAGAATTAGCAAATTAAATGATTTGATGCTGAGTTAGATTTGTTTTTTTGTGATTTTGAGTTATATTTAAATGAAAATGAGATAACTGCTGTTAGTGGCTCAGTCCATATTTACCACAAGTAATATATAAGCACTTCAAAGGCGGTGTGAGGAGTGGAAGTACCTGGCAGGGTCCTTTGTGGGAAATTTGCGAACACATTCTCTTTTCACAAAGGTCCTCTCAATCCAAGCTTTCTGTGCCTGTAAAGAGGAGATATAAGATGGGAAAAGGTGTTAGTTCACACGGTGTCATACCACACTCACAGGAAGATCATCATTGCAGATATCTGTATTTAAATTTCACTATTACAATCCTCTTGGTAGTAATCTTTTATTCCTGCCAAGAAACGCAGTGGGCTTGGATGAATCAAAATGAAAATGTTTCCACAGAAATAGGGCGTGCGTGTTGACTGGTTTTAACAGGTAGTAACATCATATTCAGTAGGTGATTAACACCTTTAATTGTCTGCTCGAGCTTCATAAGCTGCCAGTGAAAAGCGTCACACAAATTTCAACGTCACCTATTAGTCTCAAGTCAGAGGACTATGAATGAAAGACTGTAAATGAGTTTTGTCCAACAACACAGTACAGTAACTGTTCTCTCTTGATCAGCACATTGGTCTCGGCCAACAGGCCTGCTGCAAAACCCCAAACTATCCCTTACGTTCTTTTACAACCTTTCTTCCCATAGTCATAGTCATAGTGTTTTATTATTTGATCCACACTTTTCATCATCCGCCTCATAGTTATATAAATAAAAAATAAATGTTTCCCTATAATGTTTGCTACTGTAATGACCTGATTTCACTCAATAGACTGCTACTGGTTGAATAGGTCAAATCGGCACGCAACATTTTTTTCTAGAAATATTCTATTTTATTAATATTATTTTTGCATGAAGACTATTTAAATAATAATAAATATCTTTACATGGCATCTTTTGGAAGAAAAAAAAACCCTGTGTCGTCCATGTCGCCATTATTATGTCATTAAACATCCAGAACTCCTAAATCTCTGCCTTCTTATCTCTCACACATCTGAATGAACTTCCCATGATCTGTAATTTGTTCAATTAAAAAGAGTTGCATTTACAGAAAATAGATACACTTACACACAATCTTCTGTCCGAGCTGGAGAATCTGCTTCTGACGGCTACGCCTAGCGAGTCGGGAGGAAGTCTAGGGGCTGCTGCTGCTCGGGCAGAGCTTTCTCCTGGTGCTGCACTCCCAGTCAAGTGCTCTCATTGAGTCCCACAAGACATGAAACTTCTTCACTTTATGAGGACCGGCTAATATGATGAGCATGTGAGCAGGGTCTTTGTTCGCCCAAGTCTCATGACTCCAAATCGAGGTAATCCCTTTGGGAGTCCCATGACCCCTTCTCCATGCAGGGTATTTTCATCCTCCGCTTGAACAAGGCACAATAAATCTACTTTGATGACCGGCCCCTAATCTCCCAATTTGTTGAAACTCCTTTCTTTGTGTTCACTTCGCAGCGTGGAAGATCTTAGCTTGCGAGAGAAGACGCTGCAGACTGGCCAACCTGAAAGCACGGCAGCCTCGTTCGGGGGCTCCCCAACTTTTCATTTGAAACACTTTCACCCCCCACCCACTACTTTGATTTCAACCAAATTTGCATAATTGAGAGAATTGGTTGCGGGCATTCTTTTGGAAGGCACCTCGCACACGACTGGTCTCCAGTTGGGGCAAGGTCAGCCAATGCTAATTGTTGGAATGCATTAAGCATTCCAAGTATTGTTCTTCGAATCTTTATTCCAACATCTTTTTATTGTTGGAATGCATTAAGCATTCCAAGTATTGTTCTTTGAATCTTTATTTCTTCAGCTTCTTCTTCTTCTATTTCTTCCGTGGCACCTTTCAACTCCTTCACACTTTCAGCTATTAAAACCGTTCAAATATTAAAATATTCAACTTTCCGGGTTACCTCTTATGCTTGAATTTATATAAATCAATAATCATCAATATTTTAACATGGTTTTCCAATGGAGATCGTTTTCAAATCCTCTTAAACTTCTTCAACTTTCAGACTTTTCAGCTTCGCCAATCTTTCAGCTACAGACACCATTTAAAGTTTCAAATGTTGACACAAGTCTCAACTATTTTATGAAAAAAACTGCTTGTTGATATCTATTCTACTTTTTTCAAAATCACTGATTATGTTTCACTAGTTCTTCGCTCCGTTTCTGAGTTTTACATGAGTGTGTATTGCGTCTCTTAGAATGAGACCTGAAGGGCTAGAGTGTGGGGCAGCGTCAGAATCTGGTTAAAAAAATATGGAACTTCTGTACATTTTTGAGGCTTCATTTCTTTGGATTATGTGTTCACGGAATCCCAGACTTCTTTAGTTTTGGCTTAACGAGTGTTAAAGTGACACAACCTCTGCCAAAAGCTCCAATACAAATCTGCCGACATATTTCTCAAAAAATCCAGAAGGTACACGTTTTGTAAACTGCGACAGGAGCCGTATTTATTACCAGACAGACATGAAAATCACATCATGCGTTCGGTACAGTCTTGGGTCTCGCGCAAACTTCTTATTTTTTAGATAGCTGTTATAGTTTTGCGCTAGAGGACACTTGTTTGAGGTGTGGTTTCTTGGTAAAATCCGTTTACTCTGTGATCAGCTCGCGAAAACAGCAGCTGCACCGTCTCCATGACGACCATACAGGCTCGTTCCAGCACTCACTCTCCCTCCCCTACGTAGTCTGACAGACACACAGACCTACGTGGGGAGAACATGGCGCTAGCTAACACGGCACTAGCTAACATAGCGCTAACATGACGCTATGCTAGCTAACATGGCATTAGCGAGCATTTCACCAGCAATAACAGATCCAAACGGCTGACAAGTGGCTAAAACAGCGTTCCAGCACTCATTCTCCCTCCCCTACATAGTCTGACAGACACACAGGCCTACGTGGGAGGGAACATGGCGCTATAACGCTAACATGGCGCCAGCTAGCATTGCACAATCAATAACAGTACCAAACGGCTGACAAGTGGCTCAAACAGCCAGTGAAAATCTCTCATGTCTATAGATAGCTAGGCTGTCTTTGATTGCCTTCGTGGCACTGACTCATGCAGACATAATACTACCGCATTTCTACTGCTATTAATACTTCAACAACTACTAACTTTACTACTACAACTAGTGGTAGTACTACAAATGATACTATTACTATCACTACTACTAGTATTTCTACTGCTATTAAAATGACTCCTAGTAGTTGTACTAAAATACTTCTTCTAGTAGTGACTCTGCAACTGACACTACTAGGGAAAAGTACTACTACTATTTATACTGGTATTAATACTACAATTACTACTAATGTTACTACAAATACTATGACTAATAATATTTGTATTCCAGCTGTTTCTACTGCTATTGATACTTATCCTACTATTACTACTTCTACTGCTAGTACTACTAATACCACAATTACAACTATAACTAATACTACTACTAATATTACTATAAACAATTTAAAACCTCTTTTATTCATCTCAGCTTTTGTCATTTCTGTATTTTTTAAAATTAACTTAAGCTTAACTTTTTTTTAGAAAATCTATTGAAATTCAGCTTCTCCCATTTCTGTATTTTCAGCAGTTCTTTCAAATAATTTCATCTTTTATTATGCCTGTATTAACAGCAATGTTTTAATATTGATTTCTTTAATTTTTGGCAATATTTCACATTCATTTCAGCTGTTTTCATTTCTGCTTTTTCAGCAAATCTATTAAATCCTTTCAGCTTCACCCATTTCTGTATTTTCAGCAATTTCAAATTAATTTGAGCTTTTCTTATGTCTGTAATTTCAGCAAATGTATTAAAATTCCCTTCAACTTTCTGTAATTTCAGCAATTTTCTGAAGTTAATTTCAGCTTTTTGCATTCCAACGCATTTTCTAGTTGCAGTTAATCTCTATTTCCATCCACCGTGTTATTGTGGAGCAAAGGAAGACCTAAACTATAGGGTTTAGTGAGCATGTCACACTCCTTTCAGCTTACTTAAACTCAATAACACAACACACAACAATTAAAACCAAAATCCATTCAGCAACCAGCTTCCTCGTTACGAACAGCTTTTGAGCACTTGACGACAAATAACGCTGAAGAAGTAGATACTGCAGGATCAGATTGTGTCACACCAGGCAAATTAACAAGACTTACGACAAGCCTCTGAACAATAAACCACACTAATTCCAATGTGCAGAATTTTTTGAGGGAAGGACTGTGTGAAACAAAAAGGCAATTGTGTGGAAGAGAAATAATAACTGCTTGATTGCAGACATAGACATAGAAAATGAATAAAATATATAAAAGCAGTGCTTATTCTTAAGAGCAGTGCTCTTAAGAATAAGAGCTTCTCTCAGTTGGCATTAGACACAGTGTTGGTGTCAGTCAACATGCCATACATTCATGCCCTTTTGCACCAGAATCACATGGTCCTGGTCTCCTGACCCTCAGTTTAGTGAGCAACCACATCACAGAAAATTTGTTCCAGTGCTGCAACAATTACACGGACTATTCAGCTGCCGACCGTCACAAGGAAAAGGTATGACGATGGCCGTATCTCCGTACTTGGACGTCTGACCTGGTCGGTTTCGGAGCATTTTGAACACACAATTGTTTACATCTGATTTAAAATGTGAAAAAGCCATGGGTTTAAAGTGTAATGTAAGTCGCTTTGGATAAAAGCGTCTGCTAAATGACTTGTAATATAATGTAATTTATAAAAACTATACTTTGGATTTTTTTTCTGAATATTTCAGTACCAACAGACTTCACGTAACAAAAGCCTCATCGGCACAAGTGAAATGGATCAGGAAGGACTTGGGGTTCCAAATGGAATGTCACCAGGGTTGAAAATAAAGCAACTAATTGCTGGGCTTTGGTTTTGAATGGCAGTGTGGTCCGATCCTGATGCAGTGTGACAGGGGAGCCCATGTAGTCTACATAAGACCCCCTTTACTGTCTAAAAAATTTTAGACTCATGGTCGATCCCACGTGGGCTGACTAAAAAGCTGCCTTTTATATATTTCAACCTGAGGCGCAACAATATTTAGACAAAATTACACACTTGAGTTATAGCCTCTGGATAGGCAAATTTGCATTGACTGTGAAGCAAACCCTGTTTGTAAATGCACCCATTGTTCCTCCTGGGTCTGAAAATCTAGTTAACCATCACATGAGTCCAACATGTCACTGATTATTGCCAAGAGTTAGGGAGTCATAAGACATGTTTTAAAGGAACCCGTTTGCCCCAAAGGAGGGTCGGACTGAAAAAGAGAGTAAATTACATTTGAACATTAAATCAGGGATTCAAAATGAAGATAGAACCTACAAATAGCGCACCATAAACATTTTCTTTAGTAGAAGATAAGCATTTCCATGCATGGAAATAGGTCTGTGTGAGATCCTGTTCAATTATTCTAATAAGTATAACGGGTCACTCGTCACAGTTTTAAAGGTCGTTTAAAGGTTTTGATACTGAAGTGACATTTCTTTTAAATAAAAATAGAATTACCACTGCAAAAAAGCAGACATGATGTTGACTATATCATTCTGCAACAAACTATTTGAAATTAAAGGAAATGTATGTGCAGAAATGTTGATTAGTTTCCCTTCTCACCAAAAAAAAGACACATCTTAAGAATTTACTGGTGAAACTTTTTCTCTTTATAAGCTTTGCTAACTCTGACCTTTCACATTGGTGTCGGCCACGGTCGAGCCGCTGGCCTTGAGCCTCAAAAGCCTTTTGGGGATTCTTGGCCCTCACCTGACCCTCACTTGATGCTTACATCACACAGTCATATGATCTTATGATGCCTTATTTATTTTGCCTTTCGCTGTAAAAGAGGTACAACGTCAGAAGAGACCGCTTATTTGCAAAACAACACAGTATTCAGTCAGTAGACAGAAAAGATCACGCACGGTAACAAGGTGATATCATGTGAACACATTTAACTGAATGTCCTCTTTGTTGTGGAGTGCTTCAACTTTACTCTAATTTCTAATCATGTGTCATCCACAACGATGAAAGAGAGATAATGCATTCACCCTCTTTCTGATGCAATTTACCGTGTGTGAAAAATAAGTCCTTCATCTTCATACCATAACCCCCTCTCAATGATAAAGTAAATATGTATCATTTGAATAAAGCCGACTGCAAACACCCTGCAGTTGGACCTGTGCAGCGAGTCATGACATTGCTGATTTCCTTACAGAGTAAAACCTTATAAAAAGGTTAAGGATAATAGAAGAATATTGATCGCACCACTTCATAGAAACCCATCACACTAAATTATTTGTTTGATGTCTGTGTCAGATTTACCCTACTGGTGAGTTTTTGCATCAGGCGTTGGGTTGATTTAACCACAGGGTGAAACATTTCCAATGGTCATTGTGAAGTTGAATATTGATGTGTAATCTAGTAAGAATAAACTCAAAACACTTTACAGTATGTTTAATATTTTAGTATATTTTCCATCTTTATCTTCTACTAATAGTTACTTTGAAACTATTTAAATAGGAAAGTCTAGTAGTTATTTTTCTTCATTGTCCTGGCCTAATATGAAGCAACAGAAACTTGGTGCGTTAGTTTGCAGCGTGCATCCGTTAAATCCCAGCATGTTGGATTTAAAGCAGAAGCACGCATATGAAAATTGCATCTTTTTTTGCTTTCAAGGACACGATAACAGGAGTATTTTAATCGCATGAAAGCAGAATTATCACTCAGAAATATATAAATGTCCTTGATCTGTCATGTTTGAGCTCATCCATATTGGTCTATTATAAAGGAATAAACTGGGGCGAGCATCTCTTGAAACATGCTCACCCTTAAACACTATTTAACAGTGCGTGCAGTGCAGACTATGTGCAAACCAATGTATGACCGTCTGTAGCGAAGGGTGCACGTCGCTGGGACACAGGGGCAGCGAAACGGTCAGCGAGGAACTAATGTGGCCGGAAAATACAGTTTCATGTGACATACTGTCAATGCAGGTCATTCTCAGTCAAAGCAGTCATTGTTTCTGCATACAAAACGTTACAAAAAAAAGAGAGAAATATGAACTTATATTGCAGATAACTTATGGACACCAAACATTAACTTTCAGAATTAATGCATTTTTCCAACAAAAATGGAAACACTGCAGGTCAGATCCGACTCAGTAGATGTGCAGAGTCCAGTTGGATTCTGGACTAAACAGGCGTCTTCTTACCTTCTGCGAGCCAGATGGAGTGCATTTGAGGGAGGCCCGTCTGAAGGTGCTACTCTGGCCTTTGGTGTCCATACTGAAGACCGTCAAGTGGACTTAGACGGGTACCCTTTGAGGAATGGCCACAGGTCAGGGTTCAGTCAGAACCAATCTTAGACACCAACTACAGAACCAAGGCATGACTGCCACCTCAGGATTCACACCTAAAAAAAAATAAGTTTTACATTATTCAAGGCTTCAGTGCGTCCCCCTCCTCTGTGCAGCTTACTCCAGACTGACAAGATAGAGATACAAGCCAGGGATATAAATTGCTCGATGACACACTTGACACATAGACCCTTTTCCTCGGGCCGGGCATCCCATAATCAGGCTTAACGCATCCGGCTGTTACGAAGCCTCTGCAGTCTAATGGATAGAGATTTAATAAATGGTTATTGAAGGTAAATCTACTTTGGCACGGCGCAAAACAGGCTTAGAGAGACCATGCAAGCTGCGAGGCTGAAGTTAGCCGAATGTTGTCCCACTTGAGGAGGCTCAATGTGTCGGAGGGATGTCCCATCCCGGGACACATGGAAATGTGTGCACAGATGCAGAGTGACAATTACTCAAAGTGCACACCTGCTACCTGCAAACGTTGTAAAGCCTCTTCGGATCTCACTTGATTGGCATTTCACATGTATTTTTTTTTCTCCATTTAAAGTAACGTCAGATTTAGAGCAGCTTGAAGTTAATTATTGTAGAGTTTGAACTGTTATATAACACCAACAAAGGTGATTTACAAAAAGGCTTAAAAGGCTGAAGGCTTACTACCACATTGCATTATTTGACCTACGCTGACAGATAAGAGAAAATGTTTTTATATATTCACACAGCTAGAATGTGAAGAATATTGGCAATAAGGAATTGTAGCGCTTGAATTCCGATGTCATCACTTACCGGCCAAATTAAACCTGTAATGTCATTGTGACATTATGAATGTTTAGCTGAATAAATCACGTGATATTGAAGTATCGCAATATACGAATCGAATTGATCTGTTTCCTCATAGTAGATTATGCATACAAGGAAGGGAACAAATTAAACTGTTGTGTACATTTGATTTTCTCTTCAAACAAAAAGCAGCTGGAATAAGATTCAAATGTAAGTCCAGAGTCAGCCGTATTATAAATTCAACAGCTCCCCCTACTGGGTACTAAGTGGAACAGTTACAACCATCATTTCCAATATCTGATGGTGGTTATCCTTGCAGTGGTCCTGCCGTACCCCTGGTTTAATAATCCACAATATGAGAATCATTTCTGTCATAGGAATTGAATGTACTCATTCAGACTCCACCATTCATCTTTAAGTTGTTCATACTGCACGCGCCTACTTCTCTGCTGTTTCCCCTCAGGTTTCTCCCAGTTGAAGGTTGTTTTTTTACATTTTGGGGGTTTTGGGACAGGATGTTGCATGTTTACAGATAGTAAAGCTGAACAAAATAACATGATTTGAATTGAATAAACACGTTGACCAGAGGAATCTGCAACTGTGGGTTGTTCTGCGCATTCTGACTGAGGATGAGGGAGATGCAGCTGATTTCAGGTATACTCTCCCAATTCCAGTGGCTTGGAGCCAGATCGTTGTTACAGAATCTTAAAATGACCTTCCAATGAATCAGAAGAATGGGCTAAAAACAAAGAATTCTAAACCAACTTGTCCATGTTGTTTCTGCACTTTTAATTGCATAGTTTATTTCCCTGTTATATGCTCTGCGTCCGCACAGACATTACGGCGGCAGGGGGGGCGATATGGCCGGAAGAACTTTTGTGGGAAGAAATGCGTAAATATGACCGCTTGTTACGACCCTTTTGTTGAATCCAGGACAGTAATACAACAATCAACGACAGGCGACAGAGTCAGGGTAAAATGGGTCTTTCTGGTTTTTATTACAAACAAAGATGGCTCCCAACAGGAGGGAGGGAGATGGTGGAAGATGGCACCTACAGGTTGTACCAAACAAATTAAATGAATATAACAAAACGAGGCCTAGCTCACCACTGGCTCTTCATCCAAAACAAGTCAAACAAAATACCTTACCTGCTTCTCTAAAAAGGACTAAAGGAAAACGGTACACAGGAGGCAACAATGAGCAGGAGGGAGAACGACAAGAACACATGCAGCCCGTCCCTGTCTGGCATGTAACACCGCTTATACAGCCGTCATTGGCGGACTATAAGGACGCGCGGATGGCCTCTGATTCATGGAGGGAGATCTCCACAAACGAGGGGAAAAAAGTTTTGGAGGAAAATATGGGACAAATGTGTCCTTGATGAAAAGCAGCAGTGTCGATGCACGGGGCAATAAAGTCTATGATAAATAAATAAACCAACCAACGACTTCCACACAAAGACATGACTCTCCAGGTTGTCTTCAACAAAACATGTTATTCCATCTGTTGTTCTGGAGGTGAATTGCTCTGCAACACACGCAAGACTTTAGAATCATGAATTGAAACGAGTGCGTCGACACGACGGTGCGTAAAGACGCAGAAACATGCGGCGGCCTTTTCTTTGCGTCTCCGTCTGTTTTTTGCTTTCGACGGGTAACCGGCGGTAGATACGGAGGGGCGGTTATCGTCCTGTAGGTTTAATTAATCCACCACGGACCCACAGATGACCAGTGTAAACAGACCAAAGCAACAATATTCCCCCAGAGTACAATATTTATTTAAGTTTCTTAAAATATCATCAAAAAGGTACGAAACAATTCATTTCAATAATTCCAGTCAGCTCTGGGAATGTCGTCAAATAAAAAGAAAGGTTTTATTAAACAAAATTTGATTCTATTGGGGCCGTATAGGCTGCAGCGGGCTAAGAAGGGGAAAAGAGGGGGGACCAGCTCTAGGACAAGGCCCTCACTCCCTCCAGTGCCACATCCACTCTCACGCAAAACAATGTAAACCAAAAACATGCAATTAAGAAAAAGGGGAGGAGAAAGTGAGAGGCCCAGTCCAACCAGCCCCACCACCATCCGGGTAGCCACTGTTGTGGAATATTTAAATAAAAGCTTGGTAGAAGAGAATGATTTGTCTGATAAAACAGAGTCTTGATGAATGATCAAAGTTGCAAAAAGTCCATTTATTGCTTGCAAGCAGGAGGTGAAATACACAGGCACGTATCACGGTGCTCTGTGGAAATGGCGTCCCCGAGCAGTAAAAACGCTGAGTTTTTATACACATGTGAAGGACATTCTACGTGCTAGTTACGAGAAGCTGCAAAGCAGGTTGAGATAAGAACCCAGGTGAAGCTGAGGGTAGCACACACACACACAAGATCCTCCTCAGTGGCCGGTGCAAATCATAATTAATTGACATAAAGTAAAACGTGGATGGGGAACTTTCGTACCGAATAAGATATGAACCAAGTCCATGAACAGAAGTCCTTTGTTTTGAAGCTTCTATGAGATTGAGTCGACTGTCCTCCCTTCTCAGGGCACAGCTGCAAACTAATATTTGTATCATGCTGCTCTTTGCACATCAGGGTCAAATACAGGACACTTGAGACACGGCTTTAGCACAAAACAATGTTATAACATATTTTTACCATTAAATTCCACTCTTTTGATTATTCTTTAATCACACATAATATTGCAAAAAAAAAATGTTTTTGTGAGACCAAGTCTCGGGTTGTTTAGCAAGCAAATGTGATTTTTTTTTTTAGAACACTGGGAATGAACACCGAAACATGAGAATATAAAAATAGTCGAAACGAGTTCCCTCTGGCCTTGGGAGAGGGTTCCATGGGCGTTGTCGCTCCATGATAAGAGAAAAACACTCAGGTAGCTGACTACAGAATCACAGAAATATACTTAGATAATGAAACTGAAGCAAGCAATAATATGAATAAAACCGTGGAGACACAAACGACTACTGTGTCTATGTGGAGGGGTCCTGGCCGTGTTCTTCTTCTTGTGTTGGTCCGCAGGTACACGTTGGGATGTGGAGTCTGCCAACCTTCTTTCTTGTGAGGCATCCGCGTTGTAGACAGTCAACACAGATCACAACGCACTGTGTGTCTGTCGGTCAACTGCCTGTTGTGAACCCGTCCGTGGTCACTGCAACGGTGGTGTCGGTTGATTGACACTTGTTGTGGGGGTAGGGTCGCCTGAGCCCACTGCTGGTACTGGATCTGGAACCTTCTTGCAATGGGATGCGTGGACCCGAGTTGCCCTTTCAGCTATTTTGACAGCTGTTTGAGTGACAAGGAGGATCTGGAATGGTCCCTGCCAACGTCGTGCTTTCTAGTTCTTTCTTCAGAAGTCTTTCACCACCACAAAGTCACCAGGTTTCAGTTTGTGGAGTGGGCCTTCAGCTGGTTTTGGGAGGGCGGCTGCAACCTGTTGTCTGTTAGACAGAGCAGAAGAGAGTTGTGCACAATATTTTAACATTTCATGTTCGCATAATGCGGTTGAAGGGAGTGGTGCCGTCGGTGCCTCGGTTCCTACGTGAGACCAAACAATATCTCGAAGGGACTCAGGTTGCTTTGTGTTCGTTTTCTCATGCGCATGTACATCAACACTAGAGGCAGGGCTTTTGTCCAGGGCAGACCTGTGTCTGCACAGCATTTTGACAATTTGGTTTTGAGTGTGCCATTTTCTCGTTCCACAGCCCCTCCACTGGCTGGATATGTATGCGCATTGTGTTTTTAAATCAATACCAATAGGTATCATCAATACAATAGACATCAATAGATATGCTATGATGTAGGATGGGCTTACCGTCCGATTTAAGGAAGTTCCTGTGTTTCCACAGCGCCCCAAAATCATGTACTACACCAAACGCATAGCGAGAGTCAGTGTGAACTGTGACTGTTTTACCCGTAGCCAGTTTACAGGTCAGAGCGATGAGCTCGGCTGCCTGGGCTGAGAGGTGACATGGCAGAGGACCCGAACACAGCACACCAGAGTCAGAAACAACAGCAAAACCAACACGATTTTCACCAGACTGAGGATCACGGGAGGCGGATCCATCCACATACATTACAATGTCGCTGTTAGGCAATGGGGTGTCCACTAGGTCAGGGCGAGGAGTGCACTGAGCTTGGAGCTCAGCCAAACAGTTGTGCTCCTCCCCATCGCCAGGAATAGGAAGTAAGGATGCAGGGTTAAGGTTAGTACAATGTTTTATAGTGACATTCGGCATGTCTGGGAGACATGTGTGGTACCGCAAATAGCGAGCCGCAGAGAGGTGAGATGATTT